GGGAAAATTTGGTACAATGAACTGGCGTTGGTTTTCGATATCACATTTTAAGTATTACTGAAAACTCCATGTTACTCACCTAGCCCAAATTCTGTCCTAATAACAAACGTGGAGCAGGATAAGATTTTTGACGTAGCAAATGAAAACTTTGAGTGTATAGGAAGAAGAACATATGGGAGGTTAATTGTGAAACAAATGCCTCCATGATCTCCCGACTGGGCTTTTTGGTAGCGGGGAATTTATGAGACACATGCATAAGGTTTTAAGTTATACCTGTATTTGGACGGCTTTTAAAAAAACTGAAAAGTGGTAGAGTAGACAAGACGATTCTTGGATGGCTGCCAGACCTGTGAACAGTCAGAGTATCCAAACAGTGCAGCTAAGCTAGGGACTGAGCACCTCTCAAATGGCATGAACTCCATCGGTTTATCAAAAAATACGCTGCGTGCGCAATCCATTTGCATTTTCGTGCATACGTCTGACGTCAGATCACTCGGCTCGTTTTCTTTTCGGTATAGTCGGTAGTCACGGGATCACAGGACTTTGGAAACGCTGTATCAGTAGCACAAAGAAGTGTATTTTACGGGAAGCCCTTTAAATTAATCATACGGCGCTAGGAGTCTGATTGTTTTCTAGTCACTTGTTTTCTGGAGAGCTCTCGGTTTCTAAACCGGATGGACGGGTAACTGAAGTACTTTGGTCTCGAAAACCGAGTTGTACGATGTTTTTCATAAGAGATACCTTCACTGCGACCTTAATCCTAGTTGTCTTAGGATCTATAGGTTAAAATGGCCCACTGCCGATGTTTTTACCTCGTGAAATATGGTGCCTTATTTGCAGTGCGAACGAATATTTTTTCCTATGACATTGCGACCTTCGTGAATTTGGTGGAAGCCGAATTGAGTCTTTAAAAATATGGCTACGCCTAACCTTGTTTTTCACAGGGAAAATACACCCGATCCTGCTGTTTCTGAATAAACTTGAATAAACTTGTAATAAAGATGCGTATATTTTCCCTTGTGTTATAGGATGATAAACAGTATGAAAATATTCTGGAAGTAATAAAAAATGACGAATTGAGACAATACGAAAAAAATCGGCAAGTTATTTCTTGTGCATACAATTCCTTGCAGTTCGGTGTCTTTTTCAGTTTTTATATGCTGATAAATTAAATAGAGAACTATTACTTACAGCAATGGAGGAAGTACCTTTTTTGTAGTTTATCTCAACCAAATAACAGTTTGGTAAGAGATAAAAATAATAACTCTTCCCGTAGTACAGGTTGCCTTGCGTTAACTTTTAGCGAGATTAAAGTAACCGTCTAGGCTAGAGTGAGGCTTGCCGTTAAGGTTAGGAGTAGAGTTTAAGTCGAGAATTATGTTAAGAACGCTGGGACGTGTAACCTTCTGGGAATTTAGCCCAAGGCCACCTGCTTGAGGTTCCTGATCTCTTATCGTTCGTCTGTCCTAGAATTATACTACCTAGAAGTCCTGAATATATCGACTCTTGATACATTTTTCTTAGGAAAACGGAGTTTCATATAGGCTATTTCCACCCAAGCTTCTTGATGGTTGACCTCCTGTTAAACGACGGTCAACTAGCATATTTGCGAAAATTTCCATTGAAAATTTCAAAAGATAAATTGGCGAGCATCCGTTTGCTTTCGATAAATTTTCTTAAGGCTTGCACATTTGTATGGTCAGCGTCTGTGGGCTACAGCAGAAGTGGCTGCCTTCATAACGGCACCGCAGTTACCGTGGCCGAAATTCGTTAATCCAACTGCCCGCATCTCATTACCTGTCTCGGCTGCCATTCACCCCCTGACGCTGTCCTGCTGACCTGAATTCCCCCCACCCCCACCCCACCCCACCGCCCCTGACAACCACACTACTTTTTTCTAGCAATTCGCATAGTATATTTAGTTACTTATCACAGTATAACTAATCTGGAAGACCGAACATACAACGGTTCAGAAATCTACAATCAATGAAATGCAATGATATTTGACAGACACTATGACAGGAAAATAAAAATACGAGTACAGCCCGTTTTTGTAAATAAAACTGCTTCATGCGTCAATTTCCAGCATTACTGAGCCCGTGGTCTTCTTGTTTGGCGACACATAGCCTGTGAATGTTCAAATTTCATGTCTTTCATAGTTTTCTCTTGAA